CGGCCCACTTGCGGTTGTCTGGTTTATTCATTCACGGGGGACATCCTGCCGCACACACGAGCCAAGCATCTCACACCATCTCCAGATATCTGTAGTGCTCCATGATCTGTAAACATTTCATCATCTACGGAGGAAGAAGTCTGCCGATAGCTCAAACTTCTGAAACGCCCCAAATCACCCGGCCTAGATGAGCTCCCTCCGGCCGTTTTCAAAGACGGTGGTGCAAGCTTTGTTCGCGAACTAACTTCCTTATTCAAAACCATCTGGAATACTGAATCCATTGCATCCGAATGGAGTTTGGCGGATCTGTTTTCAAGAAGGACCCCTGTCACAACTGCTCCAATCACCGAGGGATCAGTCTCATCTCTGTTGCATCGAAGCTGTTACCGTCGTTGATCCTTCGAATGCTCAGTTGGACAACAGAGCGTCATATTCGCGAAGAACAAGCTGGATTCCGCCCTGGCCGGAGCTGCGTTGAGCACATATTTACGCTACGCCAGATCCCATAGCAACGTTCAAGAGACTGTCCATCACTGTGTTTTGAACATACGTTCTGCGTTTGACTCAGTCCACAGAGCAGCTGTTTGGACTTGTCTGATAAGAAACGGTGCGCCTGAGAAGTATTTAAATCTTCNTAAATCTTCTAAAGCCGTCTACTCAAACACATCAGGCTGCGTCAAGGTCTATGGTCGCATCTCCCCTTCGTTTACCATCACAAGCGGAGTTCGACAAGGATGCCTGGCTTCGCCCTTCCTCTTTAGTTTCGCAATAGATAAAATCATAAGCAGCGCTCTGGAAAACTGCAGAGCTTCCAGTGTGGAACTCCTTCCAAGTGATCGACTCCGTGACTTGGAATATGCCGACGACATCGTTTTACTCTGCGACTCCTTCCAGGACGCTCAAAACGTCCTGTGTAAGTTAGCATTATCCGTCACGCAGTTTGGTATGACACTTTCTCCATCGAAATGTAAGGTTTTACTACAAGATTGGCAAGAGGCTACATCCGTCCTCACGCTCATGAACGACCAGTTGGAAATCGTCAATCACTTCAATTATTTCATAGGGGACTGACGGAAAAAATATCAGCGCGTATCCGCAAGGCTCGAGTGGCTTTCGCCACTTGTGGCGCCGACCGATCTCAGTCTCTCCTTGAAAGGTCGCGTTTACAATGCCACAGTACGCTCCGTCCTACTCTACGGCTGTTGGCCCCTCCACGCGGACATAGCGGGTAACTGGCGTCAATGGCGTACCTATTGCGAGACTCTTATTCGTCGATTTACATTAAAACCGGTTTCACATCTCTTTTTTCATACGTTATGGCAATTCTATGTAACTGACTACGTGTTTTATATATATATATATATATAAGATCAACCAACCATAAGATATCAGATTTTGCGAACAGAATTTTTTCACTTTTCACTTAGCCGCAGTTAATGTCAGAACACTATTAGATCGGTCAAACAGCGGCCTTAGCTAGAACCCTCGAAACTTTATTTTGATGTATACTGGGTCTCCGAAACACGCATACAAGACCCTACTTCAATTGTCACCTGGCGATCTCCAGACCCGACCTCTTCTTCACATTTCACTCTCCGTGTGTCACACGATTTAGTATTCGAAGCTCGCGGTTTCGCTGGTGTCTGGACGGCGCTCAGTGTCAAGGCTGAGCGTTTCGTTCTTGACTGGACTCCGGTTGGTTGCCAACTTCGCGCTGTACGTCTGGATGGTTCAGTACGGGTTAACCGCTACAGAGCGAAGCGTCGATGTTTATTCGTCGTATCCGTGTATGCACCAACCGATTGCAGTCTACCAAAAATGATGAATTCTACAAGGACCCCACTCAACTGCTCAAAAGCTCTCCGTGGTGGTCGCTAGAGTCTTCAGTTTTCTGATCTCTGGATGAATCAGAAAGGCTTCTTGGGGGTCCACATACAACCTCAGAAAACCGGAAGAACAACGGACATTTACAAAAACTTTGTACTGACCACGGACCGTTCCTGTCAAGTACCAACTTCCTCCACAAGAAACGACACTACCTCAAACGGAAAACACCCACTCCCTCACAGCGATGAACTACAATTGACCACATCACCATCAGCCACCGCTGACGAGGATCCATTGAAGTGCTGTTGTCATTGGTCAATGTCGGTGAACAAGGATTATGCTGTGGCACGAACCAGATTCACCCTATACCTGATAAACAACCGCAGAGAAGCCACGAAAAAGGGATGAACACAATACAGTGTAAGCGATAGTTGCAAATCGGCCTTGAAGGGAAACTCTCCGGTCGACGTTCAGCTTAATAACCAGCCGAAGGACCCCATCACCGCTGGGTATTAATTAAGGAAGCTATTCAAATGTCAATAAAAAACGGCAGATTCTGGCGCACGATCAGAGCAAAAACGATGTTCTCGTTCTCGGTTGCCCAGCTGGAAGCTCGCAGAGCCAGATATTAGGCACAACAAATT